CTAGAGCACAGTGAGACAGATCTGCTTCTTAGAGTCCTGGCTTACACAAAGTCCGTCCTCAAGGACAGCAGGAGCGAGCCGACTTTTGACATCTCCGATCCATCAACACCAGACAACCTGTTCAAGCAATACCGCTTTCTTGAGTACGCAGTCAGGTATTGGGTTTTGCATTTGCAACAGTCCCCTCTGGCCCCCAAATCGACTGGGGAGTTTAAGCCGACCGCTGAACTCAAAAAGGTCTTCCCAGAAACGACAATGCTTGCCATCTTGGAATCTAACTGCTGGAACTTGCAGCTCCCGATCCCTCAGGTACTTGAGCTCCAGAGGACTGTTGGTAACGTGCGTGAGACGCTCTTTACAAAGAACCATCCCGCCGTTCTCCAAACCTATCTGGCGATTGCAACAAGCTACATGATGGTTTCCAACACTACTCAAATTGCGAAGTACCTGTACATCTGTACCATCATTAGCAAAGAGACTTTGTCGCCCATACATCCATTGACTGTGGAATGTGCCACTCAGTTTTTGAGTATCACAGAGACGCAAACTACATCCACAAGGACCGAGATCATGACGAACCGCGAGCAGATTTTGAAGGTTCTCATCACATCTTATGAGACTCAGTATGGTAGCTCTTCTGAGCTTGTCATCAAGACTCAACACCGCCTTCATCAGCTGTATGAGTTGATCAACGAGAAGGAAAATGCGCTGAAGATCTATCGATTGATTCAGCTTCATGGCTCTGGACCAAACCAGTCCACTGATGATCACTGGGAGACTGGAGGCGTTCGAATCAAGCATATTCAGCGTCATGACGATGTTGATCTCCATGGCTCCATCCTCGGCAGTGACGAGATCGAGGAGGAGACTGCCATGGTCATGACCATATCTTCAATCGAGGCAATGCTCAGCGTAATCCAGCAGCACCTTCACCGCAAGGAGTTCCAGCAGGCGGAGAGGATGTATGTCGAACTATGGATGGAAGTTTCTTCCAAGTGTCGCACTGTCATGGGCATTGAGTGGCACGAAAAGAACATCGACATTGCCACCTCTTATTCCCAGTTTTTGAAGAACCAAAAACGGACCAGCGAGTCTACGGCAGTACTTTCCTCAGTCTGGCAGCAATATGAGGCTCACCAGCTCTCTTTCTCAGAGAACATTGTCTCACGACTTACGCATGTGGCCAAGGAGATGAGGAGCATGAACGCACACGCTCAAGCACTCTCGATTTTCAAGTTTGCAAGCTCCTACTACCAGAGTGTGAACCGCCAGGAGTCTCAAGCCTCGCTCGAGGTCCGCCAGCAGCTTTCTCAGACCTCTAGCGAACTCGTTCAGCACAGCCTGACCAGCTCTAGTTCTGTGACAGAGACTACAACGACGGTTTCTGAATCCGTGTTCCAGGACGTGTTCTTTACCACCATCTCGAGCTCGAAGACGCTTGATTCTAGCACGATTGCTCTTTCCAAGAAGCTCACAGCTCAGTACATGGCAAAGAGCGATTACACCGCAGCTATCAACGTCATTCACGCTACTTTGAAGCGTACTTGGTCTTCTTTCTTGGCAAGCTCCATTCATGACGTTACCATGGCCACGTCGTTCCTCCAAGAGTCAGTCGAACTGGTCGAGCGGCTTGCAGAGTGCTATCTGCAGAGGCGACAGCTGGACAAGGTTGATGACGTTTACAACCGCTTTTTCCGTGCTGTCCTTGTCACTGAGAAGATCGACCAAGCCATCTTTGACAAGGCGAAGAACCTCTTGATCAACTTCTACGACAAGCACGGCTATGTGGACAAGGCTATCAGCATTTACCAAGAGATCCTGGTTGTATACCGTGCACGACTTGGTCAAACGCACGAGAAAACTATTGGGACTCTGTACATTCTAGCTCAGAGATGCCGCGCTCACCCCAGAAACCATGGATACTGGCTTGACTACTACCTGCAGATTCTGGTTGCGCTGAACAAAGAGTCTGAGATCTGCCACAAGAATGCATTGGATGCTTTGCAGGTGGTAACCGTGACATACTGGGAAGATCGTCGCTATGCGGAAGCTGTAACATTCTACAAGGTGCTCTGGAACACTTTTGTTCGACAGCACAAGGAGCACAAGGTCTTCACCGACACCAAGTTTGCTGAGACGCTGTACGAGCGATACTACCAGTGTCTTGAGGAGACAAAAGCTACCTGGTCTGATCTGTACAAGGTCACCAAGGAGTACCGCGAGACTTCTACTGCGGTCTTTGGCGCTGAGTCTACCATCGCCGTCAATGCAACTCTCTCGCTCGCTCAAGTTGCCCAGAGCAGCGAGCAGCATATGTCTGAGGCGATTTCTCTCTACGAGGCGGTTTCGCAGTCTGGCAAACAAGTCACCACCAAGACTACTGTTACTGAGATCAACAACACACTGTCGTCACTCTACCTGAAGCAGATGCACTCGACGTCCTCCACCAACCTCAAAGCTGAGACTGTCTCACGCGCCTTGACGATAAGCGAATCGCACTTCCAAGAGGCTACCCAAAAGTACGGTTACAGCCACGAGTCTTCGCTTACCAGCCTGAAGGAGCTTGCAACCCTCTACTCACGCCAGCAAAAGACGGATGTTGCAGTCAAGCAGATTTCAAAGGCTGTCTCTGAAATTGTCACCAAGGAAACCTCGTCGCAGAAGCAAATGGAGTCTGCTGCTTCCATCGCTTCTACCATGCAAGTCATTGGCCAGAGCAGCACTGCCTATGCTATGGTCCAGGAAATGCATCGCCAGATCTGTGCCAAAGACTCTAGGCATGCATCCAAGTGGTCATTCGATCTGACCAAGACTGGACGCACTTCTCTTGCTTTCCTTGCGTCGCTGCAATACCATCTCAGGAAGGATCTCAGCATCACGTTCTCGGAAATCTACGCGGACCTGACCATGGAGTACATTTACTGGGTCCAGTTCCACCAGACGCTCCAGAATAACGAGAGCCTGACAAACATTCTTCTTGCTGCTGCCCCACTCCGATACTATCTCCGCCGCAACGACAACAAGGATATGATCTCGGTTGTTGAAGACCAGGCTGTTGACCTCTTTGTCAAGCGTGATGCCCAGGACTTGAAGGACTTTAGCAAGGAATCCCCTCGCATCTTCATCATCGGTATTCTTGACTACCTTGGTAGCGGCCGCAACAAAGACTTTATCCGCTCTGTCATTCTCTCTAGCAACCGAAGCGTCAGCCAGCTTACCAAGGAGAAGAAGTTCCGCGAGGCATACGACATTGCCACTCTCGGCTTCCTCTTTGCCAACAAGCACGATGGTTACAACGGTCCACGGGCTATCGGCATGGGCTTCAAGCTTGCTTCTCTCCTTGTCGGTCGCGACAGCAACGAGAAGTGTCCTGATGCTGCTCTGCGCAAGAAGATGCTCGCCCTATCCAACCGCATCGTCAAGCAAATCCTGGAAATCTGCAAGAATCTCAAGATCAACTTTGCTCACATCCAGCTGTACGAACTGAGCCAGCTGTCCGCGCTACTCGGCGAACAGGAAGATTACGAGACTCTCGAATGGCTCCTCACTACCCTCTGGCAGACGCGCGACGCTCAACGCTCGTGGCCCGCCGAAGTCCTGCTCAACCTGGGTCGCCGCCTCATCTGCGCCCGCTACCTGGGCGGCCACCCCGTCAAAGCCATCCGTCTCGCCGAAGACATTGCGTACAACATGCGCCGTGCCCACGGTCCCCGCGCCCCCGTTACAATCGAAACGTACGAGCTCCTCGCCCAACTCTACACCTCAACCGGCCAGCACTACCAAGCGCAAGCCGCCAAGGGCGAAAAGACGGCAAGCATGGCGCAGGACTGCTTCAAGAAAGCCATCCTCGTCCACGAAGACCTCCTCCGCATCCTCGTCAACACCTCCTCCAACGCCGCCTCTAATGCTCAAGACGACGAAGACGACGACGACGACGACGAAATGGATACTACCGCCCAACTCCTCGCTCGCGAGGGCGTCAACGTCAAGACCGCGCCCAACACACCCAGCCGCGAGGCCATCGACTCAAGCACCATGGACCACGCCGCCACCGCCCTCAAGCACCTGCGCCTCCTCAAGCTTGCCTACCAGCGCTACGGCGGATGGCCCAAATCCTACGCCGAGTACGAGCGCCTCAACGCCCTTCTCTTCCGCGTCTTCGGCACCGATCCCAAGTGGAAGGGCGCCGAGGGCACTGAAAAGTGGGATGCAAAGGCCTTTGGCTCCGGTAAGGCGGAGTCTCAGGAAGGCGGCTTCAACGGCGTTGACGACTGGACCTTTGGAAGCGATGACCTCGTCATGGGTCAGTTGCAGAGGCAGTTGCCCATTGGCTCGCCGGTCATGGGTAATGGCACAATGGTTCGTGTCTAAGAAAAGAGTGATTGAGAAAGAGAAGTCATGTGTATATGGTTGGTGGGTGTTGACTGAGTAAATGGTTTGATTTGGCATAAGTGTAGCGTTCCGTTTCGCTCGTTTTATTTCCTTGATGTTCATTAGTCTGCTTACATGGGTAGGAAGATGCCTTGATGGTGTCACTACTTCTTAGCCTCTCTCTTTTGAGTTTCTTTCCTTGAGTGTAATGCTTTCTCTTTTTTTTCGATTTCTTAAAAAAAGTTATACTTTTGTAGTCATTAATCCCAATGTTGTTAGTACTGCATATCAAAGTCTCATAGTGCCTTTGTGATACTACGTTGAAACATTATCCACTACTACTACCAAAGAAGGAAAGTAAACAATTAGCTCGATTTGGTTTTCTGTCTCGTACCATAAATTGTTATTAAAAATGTCGACCTTACAACCGTCTACAGAGCTTAGCGCTCTTTCTGAGTAAAAGGTGCCTACATCAGTCCAACTCAGAAAGTAACTATATTAAATTCATCATAAGACATGAAGCATCATTCATAAAACACCAATCCATCTTAACTCGTTAAGTGTTCGTCGACCTCATTTCTATGTTCATAATCCAACACCTCTTCCTTGATCTGTCAGCACAGCTCATCTCAAGTCTCAAAGACTTCAGTCAGATCCCCCCACTCGCCACGTTCCCTGCACTCCCAGTACCCATCCTTGCCGCCCTTGAGCCTCCAAATTTCCTCACCATCCAACGCTGCTGCCTCGGCGGCTCCAACCTTGCTGAACCAGCGCGGCTTCCACTCTTGACCATGTTCTTCCAGGACCTTTCTTCTAGCTCTCTGGCGCTCTTCAAGACGCGCTTTCAGCGCTTCGGCTTTGTCTACATCGCCGTCTTCAAGGGCACGCTGATCGGGCCGGAGTCGCGAGTCGGTGGGTGGAATGTGGCCTTCTTCGATAGCTGTGACCTGATTGAGGGCGGCGGCAAAAGTGGTGAGGCCGTAGTGTTTCTCGGCTTTATCAACCAAGCTACCTACTTTCCAGATAGTCTTGCCAATTGGCTGTCCATTGGATGTCAACTGAAGGTCGGTTGTCCATTTGCCGGTTGCACCACTTGGGAGGATGGAGCCAGCGTTATCGAATGCTTGAACCAAGACCTCTTCTGAGCGGCCAGCAAACATGCCGCCAGCTTTGAATGTGCATACAGCTTTTGCGCCCGTAGTTTCCGAGATAATAGTCATTGTGCCAGAGGGCTCAAGATACTTTTCACCCGCAATGACGTTGCGCAGATAGGATGTTGCCAGGGTCCAGGAGTAGTGCTCACCGGAAGCATGTAAGAAGATGCGAACACGACCATCGGTGTTGATCTCAGCGCTCTTGCCCCAGAACTTCTGCATTGGGGTAGAGGATTGAATAAACGTCCATTCTTGTGCCTCGGCTTGGCAGGCCATGCGTACAGGACGGTGAACGACCTTTTCTGCAAAGAAACGGAAGCCCTTGTCTTCGCGAACGAGTTCGTACGTTTCACCAAGCATAGGGTTGAACGGTTTCCGGATTGCGCGATCCTTGACACGGGTGTTGCTGAAGGCTGAGATTGCAAAAGCGGCCATGTAGATGAGACGCTCGCCCGTTTCCGAGGGAGCTGCCACAGCGGCATCTAGTAGCTCGCTGTACTCGAGCTGTTCGGCGAGTCGTTGCAATGCTGAAGTGGGCTCGTTAGCAGACACCGGCATGGCAATGGTTGACAAATCTTTGCCAACATTCTTTCTGAAGAATGCAATCAGACTTGGGGGTTGAACTTTAGGCGCAGGAACAGTGGCTCGACGGTCAACTGGGTCGAGAGGTAGAGGCTTTAGAGATTCGGGCTTTGTAGGGAAAAGTGCTGGTGTCATTTCAAGCGACATTCGTGGACGATCTCTTGTTTCCTCGCTTCCGTTTTCAGAAGACGACTCCGATTCTCCGTCTGAGTCCTCGTTTGGAGTATGTCCACGCTCGTGTTCATTGTCGCCACTATCACGCCGAATAGTAAGCAGTTGCGACTTGCCGCCGTCGCCATCGGTAGCATCGAAGAACTCGTCAACAGATTCTACAGTTGATTCAAAGCTGTTGCGTGATGGCACAGCAGAGAGTGGTGGTGGTTTTGCTAACGCTCGACGTTGCTTGCTTTCGCTAATGAGATTGGCGAAGTCTGCGACGACGGAATCCAAGTCTTTCAAGAGAGCCATGCAGTTACCATGAAGAAGTTCTTCCATTGGAGAACTTGTACCTTGGCCATTCTGGGATGGCACTGCGAGCGTGCCATTTGCTGAGATGTTTGCGGATGGGCCACTTTTGTTGGACAGCCCTGAAGGGCTCTGTGCAGCCGAACTACTTGGCTTGCGCTTCCAAAAGGAAGTTTTTTGGGGTGCCTTTTGTTCCGGGAAGTAGTCGCTGGGTTCCGTTTCGGATGGTGCAGGTGATTCAGTTTCGTTTGTTTTTGTAGCGGACTTGGGCTCGGTTTGCTGGACTAACCTTCGCACCGCGTCTCTTGTACCAGAAACTCGCCCCATCAATGCCTCAACCCTAGCCCATTCAGTCTCTTCGATCGCACTTGAGGCTTGCGGGAAGCCCTGAAATGTTCCCTCTTGTATTTGTAGGGTAGGCGAAGCCACTGCTCCCCTGTCTGCTGCTGTTCTTGATGCACGGTCAAGCGCAGTTTTCCACATCTGAAAATCCTTTTCATTGAGGGCGCGCAGCTGCCAAATCTCCGCTCCTGAATCTACAGAGATTTCCCTTGTTTCCTCGTTTGCGCCGATGGCGGCTAGCGACAGCGGGATGGCGCCGCGTAGAGCGGAGGAATGGTCGTTGCGGTAATACGACAGCGTTGACGAGGTGAGGTCCAAAGAAAAGAAGCGTCTCGCATAGCCCTGATTCCTCTTCCTCCGCTTCTTCTGCAATACGCCAGTGAGAAAAGACGAGCCAGATAGACTGCCCGGTTTCTGGCCGTATTGTGACTTTGGTCGGTCTCCAGATGTTTGAGCTAAAGACTCAGATGATTCGGCAGGGTTGATAGAAGGTGATGACTTGGGGAGACTAGTTGTGCTTGCTCCAGCCATTGCCTGGGCGTAGTGCATGTGGTGACCCGATTTTGGAGCGGCATTGGTTGGATATGTCATGAGAACAAATGTGGCCGTCTTAGACACTGTCTTGGAAAAGGTATTGTCAAAGACAAGGCCATACATACCACCCTCGCCGGGGGGTATGTCATAAGTGCCCATGGAGACGGTGTCGGCCTCACATTTGCCATGCCAGTGTACCTGTTTCAGACCGATTGCTGACAGCTTTTCCAGGACGACAGTTCGGTCGTTTCTTGACGTCGAGGCTCCGCGCCCGCGTGTTACGGGTGGCTCGAGGGAGGGGGTGCCTGGTCCGGCCTCGAAGGTGGCCGTGGAAGGCAGGTGGGCAGCTGAGCCCGTCGCGTTTCCGGGGTGCTTGAAGATGCCGAAATTGAGAGACTTTTTGTGTGGCTGGACACTCCATGATATGGTGTGGCCCGAGGAAACATTGACCCATCTTACAAGGTAAGACTGGCGGGAATCAGCAAGGGCAGCCAGGGGTGGGAGACGGGAGGTGAGAGACGTACCTTGCTATGGACCTCGATGTTCTCCATTCCGGCCATGGCGGGCGGATGCTACTCTGGTACTCGGGTAGCCGGTGTGTTAGGGTTGTGGTGTCCCAGGGTTTGCAAAAGCAAGCTGTACGCGGGGGGCTGGCGTCAGATATACGTTTGCTGTCAATGCTCGGCGGTCAAGCAAAGGCAGGATCAGAATGGGCTGGAGATGAGGCGTCTCAGTGGGCGGGCATTTCGGACAGCGGAACAAGGAGGGTCGGGGTTGTTGTCGGGCCTAGAGGACGGGCGACAAGAGGCAGTGTGGTGAAGGTTGAGTCGGAATGCGGGACTGCAGCGAGGCCGAGTGTCGTGTGGGTGCAGCGGCTTTGTGGCTGCTTGTGCACGTCTTGTCGCGATACTGAGGCGCAGATGTCTACACCGACCAGATCCACCTAGTAGGCCAGGCGTGCAACAGCAATTGTTTTGTGCGTGACAGGCGGCAATGTTCGCAAGCTACGCGGATAGTAGACATACTTGACATGCTTTACATGTGCCTGGGAGTAGTATGCGGCGGCTGGGAGCACGGCCAGCGAACCGGGGTATGCATTGGTCCAGCCGCCGCATCAGCCTTATTGCGCCACTGTCAGCCACCACCATTATTCCATGCTTTCGCCTTCGCATGACACGCTGCCTGCTCGCTGTCCACCTCCCGCTGCATCCGGATCGCCTGTCCTCGTGGCTTGATAAGCTGACGAACAAGTCCGTCTTTGGGCTCTGGTCCCCCCTCTCGGCGCCTCGTCCATTGTCATCTCGAACATGTCTCACCCTGACTCTGTCCCCAGGCGTAGGTCACGTGATTTTCGGCTTCCGTCCCCCTCCGACTTCGGGTACCCTCATTTATATCGTACGCCAAACCTGCAGACAACATGTCCTCGCCAAACTCTCCAGAATCTGTCGCGTCGTCGCGTTCCACACGCTATTCCCTTTGCGACGCGGACCATTTGCATCCTCTTCCAATTCCGGTCTAGCATTGCCTTCCGCGCCCTCGCCCCGAGCCTCTTATTAGTGCACCGCATACCCTTGCTCCCATAATTCTTCCGTGACTATGTCAAAGTAGTGCTACCATGTACTTTATACCCCAAATGTGGGGTAATGCCATATAGCCTTCAATTTCCATTCAATCTACCTCGTTAGTGCTAGTCAACATCATCATCCCGTTCCGTCTCCCTGAATAATTGTCCCCATCGCATTTATTAACATGCTCTCCGCTGCTAATTCCAGGATGTAACCACTTCTCTCATCTTGCCATATTGCTTACCAACGTTTGCCAGCATGGTTAAATCAATCGCTCTTGCCTTGTCTTTGGCAACCACTGGTCTCGCTGCATCCGAAGCACAAGCGTCCTCCTGGTCCGGATGGAAGAACGTCAAACACCTTTTCGTCTTTGGTGATTCTTACACCCAGACTGGCTTCAATGTGAACGGCACCCAACCAAGCCCATCTAACCCTCTCGGCAACCCGCCATATCCTGGCTGGACATCTTCAAACGGTCCCAACTGGGTCGGATTTCTTACCACCACCTACAATGCCAGCACTCTCCTGACGTACAATATGGCCTATGGTGGAGCCACCGTCGACTCGGCCCTTGTCGCCCCGTATACACCGACAGTAGTCAGCATGAAGGAACAAGTCCAGTCCCAATTCCTGCCCACTTATGGCTCCCATCCCAACTTTGCTCCCTGGACATCCGCCTCATCACTCTTTGCCTTCTTCATCGGCATCAACGACGTAGGAACCAGCTGGTGGCGGGAAAACTCTACTGCTCTCTGGGACACCATCTTCTCCGTGTATGAGAAGCAACTCACCGACATCTACGCTACCGGAGGCCGCAATTTCCTCTTCCTTAACGTCCCACCTGTCAATCTCGCGCCCTTGACCACGCAGCAAAATGATGGCGGATATGCAGTAGAGCACGAGGGCAAGGCGATTGAGGATTGGAACAAGCGAATTGCCAACATGGTATCTCAGTTCAAAGCAAAGAACACAGGCACCACTGCATTTGTGTTCGATACGTGGGCACTATACAACAGCGTCATCAAGAACCCTGCGAGCTACAAGCAGACTGCCGACTTGAAAAATGTTACTGGCTACTGCAATGCGTACAAAAAGTAATTCTTTTAAATCACAGCCTATATACTGCGGGACATATTAGCTAACGAGTGGATAGTGGTACCCCGACCTGGTATACCAAGGACCCTAGCTGCCAGTACCCTGTCAACGAGTACCTATGGCTCAACGAGCTGCATCCTACTTTTTCAATCAACAACGCCACAGCAGCTTCCATTGTTAAGTTGCTTTCCAAATAAGCATTTTCTGGAATGAGGTACAGTATCATGGTGTTCCAGATCATGGTAGTCATTCTGGTCTACAACCGCTGTACATACTTGATTACCAAAAAAATTAGACCCCGTTGCGAAGTGAACCTATACAATGAGCTATGTTTCAGAGTAAGATAAGTGGAGTGATGCAAGTGTGTAATATACAGTCATGAAACAGAGAAACCTAGTTCAGATCCAGCGCCATTGTCTTTTCATGTCATGTCTAAAAGGATCACATTACACTCGCTCACTCACCCAAATGGCGCCTCTACACCCACCCCTTATGACCTCGGTCAGAAGTTCGTATGGCTTTGCATTCTTGGCGTCGTTCTCAACGGCGTGGTCCAAATGCTCCAGTTCCTCATCTCTTATCCGCCTCAACTCAACTACCAACTTGTCCAACTCGGGGCCTAAGCTCTCTCCCCTCTTCTCACACTTCTTAGCCCAGTCCAGCAGCACCCGTACCTGCTCGTTGTAGTGCGTCCCAATCTCCGTCTCGACAGCCTCTGTACACGCCATGGCTGCCTCGCGACCCATGACGGCCGTCGACCAGCCCAGGATACTTGCTGCCGCTGTCCAGATGGGAGTCATGGCTGTCGGGCGTATGCGGTGCTTGGAGATGACGTCGTTGAAGTATTTGTAGTGCCCTGCTTCCTGGTCGTACATGTGCTTCATGAGCGGGCGCAAGTGGGGATGTGACCGTGTGATGACGGGTGACTGGGCGGCATAGATGAGGATGGCAGCAAGCTCACCCGTTTGGTTCACTCGCAATGCCGAAGAGAGAAATTCCCGCTGCTCTGGTGTAAGCGGCCGTATTGGTTTGCCATCTCTTGTTGTTTGTGGCGAGGGTGGCGTGGATGCTGTGCTAGAGAATCGCAGTGTCTGGCGTGGTGCGCAAGTGGATGTACATGGGGCAAGAAAATCGAGGACTGGGTATTGCAGGCTGCGGCAGATGCTGCGTGATATTGTTCGTGATGAGTGGACTGCAAAAGACATGGCCTGTGTTCTCGGCTATTATAAAATAATATGAATGAAAAAAAAAGACCCAATTGCTCTTCAGAAAGGTGAATGCAGTGAATAGAAGAATAGGAAAATGGCCTATGATGCGCTCACTGCACGCAACTAGTGATCCACTCGGAGGACGCGGCATGGTCCGAGCTCAGCGAGTGTTTCCCCAACCTTTGGACTTCCCATGCTCCTCTTCCCTCCTCTTTTCCCCCTTAAGCGCGCCCAAATCTCCTCCCGACATCCTCAGCGATCCCCCATTATCACCGCTACTGTCGCTGCAACAGGCCAGAAATCCACCGCAAAACTTTTTCCCATTCACCTCCACAATGTCGGCTGATGATATCGACGATGAGCTCTTCGCCCTCGCGGGTGGTGACGAAGACGCAGACGTAGAAGAAGGCGAGGCGTGAGTACTCCTCTCTCACCTATCACCACTCATCCATCTCTCGCCACTCCTTCCCATCGCTTCCTCCTCTCATACTCCTCCGTTCAACCCTCCACCGACCGTTTCAACCCCTTACCGCACCATGGCGCTGACTCGACCCAGTTCGTCGCCTGCAGCCTCATCGCCAAACTCTCTGGGATCAGATGCCATGGACGAATCCGACTCGGATCGCGATGATGACGAGCCCGCGCACGCGGCCGATGTGCCCTACCCCCTCGAGGGCAAATATATTGACGAGGCAGACAAGCGGCAGATCATGGGCATGTCGCAGTTGGAGCGAGAGGAGATTCTGGGCCAACGCGCTGAGGAGATGAGCAATGCCAATTTCAAGGCAGAACTCGCAAGACGTGCTGCCAACGTTCAAAACGACCGAAAGCGCAAGGCCGACTCAGAAGACCCTGACGATTCCATGCGCAAAAGTAGCCGACCAAAAGTGCAACCCCGTAAGAACGAGAAACTCGAGGCATACAAGCGCGAACGAGAGCAGCGAGGCCAACAGAGGCAGCGACACGATGACCGACGTGGTGACCGTAGGCGATCCAGCTCTGGTGATCGCGACGCTGGCTCAGATCTTGACGCTGATGGCGAGAGCGATGTTGAGTGGGACGACAGAGTACCAGACAAGGTTCGCGAGGACGTGCCTGCAACTCTACGTGACTTTGAATCGGTGCGCGTCGGTAGAGGCTTCTTCTCAGAAGTATGCTTCCACCCAGGTTTCGAAGAGGCCTTGACAGGTGCTTTTGGGCGTGTGGGTGTTGGCCAGGATGCCCAGCGTCGCACTCTCTATAAGATGGCGCAAATTAAGGGTAAGCATGTCAACAACTGCATCACGAACATAACTAACTCATTTCCTAGGTTTCTCGGTGGGCAAGCCCTACGTTTTTGAAGGCAAAGATGGTAAACGCATCGCGACCGATCAATACGTCATTGCGCAACACGGGTCAGTGAAGAAGGACTACCAGTTCCAATTCATGTCAAACCAGCGCTTTACCGAAAGCGATCTTGATATCTACCGTCAATCCCTTGCCGAGACAAACTCCAAGGTGCCATCACAGTCTTTCCTCAAGCGGAAATACGACGACCTCAAGGCACTCCAGAACCACTACTGGACCGACGCCGACATCAGCGCCCGTATTGCCAAGTCCAAGAAATACGCTCATCTTCTCCAACGCTCATCCTCTGACGCGCAGCCCAAGATCGCTACGCAGTCTGAGGCAGCTGCTGCGCGTGTTGCAGAGCTCAACCGCAAGAACCGTATATTAGAAGCTGAGCGTGTACGCAAGGCCCAGCTCGAGCAACAGCGGCAAAAGAAGATTGAGCAAAAGAAGGAGGTTGCCCGTCGGAAAGCAGAAGAGGAGGCGAAGAAGGCACAAGAGGAAGAAGCCCAAAAGAAGAAGGCCCTAGATGTCGACGCCCTCTTCGACGGTGAGGGTAGTTCCAGGGCGAGTACGCCCAACCCTCAACAATCTAAGAAGACCGAGCGGAAAGGCTTGCCGACATTTAGGAAGCCCAAGATGGATGATGACATTATTGCGAGCATGGACATTGGCGTTGACATCGAGATTTGAGCCGTTTTCTGTTTTTCCAGCTGAGTTACGACCAGAGCAAGTTCTGGATTGGTATTCGTCCTTTTGCCTATTGTTTCTGGCTAATCGGGTCTGTTTTACGACTGCGCATCCCTTTTTGATTTTTTTAGTTTTTTTTTGTTTCCGCTCGACTTCAATTTTCTGTGTACCATTTTAATTAGGTGCAAAAGTCGATTAGTTACTGTGGCATGGAGGGAGGGAGAGAGCATAGCGATGGTGTTCATATATAACAAGGAGTGCAAGAAGTGACCTATTATCCTTGTTACAGTTTTCCTTTCTTTTTATACCCAGGGATGTCGTCATGGGAGGGGCGGGGTGGGGTGGAGAGATTGTTATATCTATGTACGATAGTTTGTATATGCTCAGAGCAAATGAAAAAACGTTTGCTATGAACTCACAAGAAAGGAACAAATTTGCATATCTTATAGTCACCCCGTTTCAGCAATGAGAGATAAAAAAAAGAGAAACGTTTTTCAGCTAACGTTGGTCAAGCAACAAAGCCCAGTGAAGATTTGGGTCATGACCTCAATCCTCCAGCACCAAGTCCATGCCATTTGGGAATTATGTAACCAATGTGATGGATAAAAGACAAAAACGAAAATAAAGGAATTCAAATTGGTAATGGCCCTGGACCAACCAGTCCCAAATATCTATCAAGCCAAGAGATAAGCCTTGCACAGCAGTCTAACCCGCATAAACGGCTCACTCATCCCGTACTCATCCCTTGTAGAAAATCCAGGTACCTCCTACTTCCCGCATACGTACCCACCAACCCCTTGCACATCAACATACCAAACAAACAAAGAAAACATTCCATTTACCCATCTCACTACCACCATCTAATCCAGCCCCTCAAGCCATGAGACTCCGAAATTCCCGTCCAAGACCGCGTGGTCCTTTTTTTGATCTCTACTCTCATACGTAATCATGCGCATCAGATGAGAGAGGAGACATGCACCAACGACACACTTTCATCACCACAAACCGACCCCATTGTTTATGATAGTACAAACTAAAACCAATAAGCCACCCCCCCCCCTTCCCCGCGGAACCACAACAACAATAAAAAAGAAACCCCTCAAACCTCTCCTCTCATCCTTCACACATTTTCCCTCTCGCCAAGAGACCCGACTCCACCGACCGGAGTTGTTGTATCCCGTCCCACCGCCCGTTTTGCCGCCTATTATTACTTACTACTGCCAGCATCACACGGAATAGCATTCTGCGCCGCATACTTACGCAAGGGATGTGGCGCTCTTTTTGTTTCCTGCGAGCGGCGCATGTCTTCGCTGGGACGCGGACTCGCTTCGGGGATGGATTCTAGCAGTGGGAGGTGGCGGGGGAGTGGGTTGAGGAGGAGGGAATTTGCGTCTTGGCGGTGCACCTGGATAGAGACTATGGGGCCCATTTCGCTGTTAGGGGAATGTGGGGTGTTGTTGTTGTTGTTGTTGTTGTTGTTGTAGAGGCGCGAGCAGCAGCTGCAGCTGCAGCAGCAGAGGGTCGTAAGGAGGCCGCTATGGTTTTTTATTTTAGTTTTTTTTTTTCAGTGATTGAGGGGTTTAGTTTGGAGTGGGTTACTCTTTTTTGTGAGAGTGGTCTTGGTGCAACAGAGAATGTTTGGCTATGTATGAAGGATTATTCTATATAGCGTTTGGGAGGATGTTGGTGCAATAGCACTCACAACAGCAATGCAACCGCTGCAGAAAGTCCCCCAATAAGGACTCTCTGTGTATTTCTCCTGACTTCTTTTCCTTCTGGATGGGTGTCGCGACGGAACAGTCGGATCGGGAGACTTCGTTGCAGTGACGAACTTCCAGACGTTTTCTCGAATGCTACAATGCTTTCTGAAGGCATCCATATGCCATCCTTGACTGTACCCTTGCCCTGGCGAATAGCAGCCCGTTCTTCCTCTGTACAAGTAGAAACAGTGTCTCTAATCCAGCAGGCTGAGTCTGGCTGAGGCGGCACCGCATTCTTATGATCAGAAGTGTTGGGTCCTTCGGTTGCAAACGTAGACAAGTCAGCCTCACGACCCGTGCTGATGTCGCGGCCTTGAATAGTCCGACTGAAGACAGCAAACGCGGCTTCTGGTTGATAGTAAGGTACCTGGTGACCAGCATCGTAAATTCGCGAGAATGAAAGGTTGCCATATTGGCGCACGGCTCCACCAACGTAAGATGGATTGACAACGATATCAGCATACCCAGCGGCTGGAAAGGCGGCATCGTACCCTGGAACAAGACTAGCTAGCTCGAGAGATCCATTCTGACCTCCATACCAGTTACCCAGGAGATCAGCGTCACCGTATATCAAGGCTACCTTTATGCCGCGAGCGAGCAAGCGTGCCAAAGAGGCCAGCTGCGTCCCACGAGCAGCATCCCCGTCTATGGGAAGAGTCAGCAAAGCTCTCTTCCTAGAGAAGCTTGTCAAATGAATATGACTTACTGAAATTGAAAGCGTTCTCGACAGTAATGCTGTGTGAGCTGAAGTTGACCGAAGCCCCAATGGACTGTAGAACCCTGGCATCGTTCAGATATTCTACATAGGAGGCAGCCGGCGCAATCTGAGGCTCCACTCGCACGTCATAGACACTTCTTCCGATAGCCATGACAGGAAGAACAGCCAATTGACAGGTTAATAGAGCACTTGCGCAAAGCTTATTCGTGTCCTCATCAGTACCGAGATTATCGGGATCGTTCTTTGCCACGAGCACACGACATTGCGTTATTAGATCCTTACAGCCCATCTCTCCATTGACTGCAGCTATTGCATTCTGGTAGGTCGTAATGTTGATGCCTTCGATACCATATGTGTTGTTGTATGCAAATTCCAGACTTGATGTTGTGGTTGCAATAACATCCAAGACACCATCCACAATGCCTACTGAACCCACGCGGATCTCCAATGCATTGCTTGGTACCTTTCCATATTTTCTTCCCTCGTTTTGAGCTTCAAAAAAGTCTGCAAAGATGGGGCCATACATTCCCCCGTAGCTCTCGGCAAACAGATTGATGGCAGCAGACTCGACAACATCACTATCAGGATGTACTCCAGGATTGTACTGAGGGAAAGCGGAGAGAAAACCTTGCAGGAAGTGCCAGGTCGATCTGGCGGCAATGGCAGTCAAGTCTTCCGTGTTTGTGATTAGACCAGAAGCAAACGTTCCGTTTTTGAAGCGCCAGGCAGGTACATCAGTTGGAAGGGGTGACGGTTGCTTGCGGGCATCCAAGCTGATAGGGTCATCATTGCTGAAATCTACAGACGCATTCACCCGCACATCATAGGAGAAGCCGGTTTGAGTGGGCTGATCGATGAAGAGTATGTTGGAACTGCGATCCCAACCCCAGGGCCTGGGCTGTGTAGTGTAGCCGTCATTAGACCCTTGTATAACCTTGCATGGTCCTACTTCGGTAAAGAGACCAACCATACTAGACTGCCCAGGTCCACCGTTCAGCCATATTGTTAATGGTGCAGTCTCTGGGTTGTCTCGAGCCTCAAAGAACCAGAAAAAGGTGTTGATTGAGTAGTTTTGCTGAAAGGGCGTAAGCGTAAACGGAGGGAGATTGACATAGCCCGAGTACTGCTTCTGCGTTTCAGCAGTTGTAGAGCATATGTCGGATTCAGGCTGCTTGAAGGAGATGGTGATGCTAGGGTCCACGGGTGATTTGAGAATGGTGTCATAGGTAACAGGAAGCGGATACTGCTGGGCAAGTGAGAACCCAAAGCCAAAAGCAACAAGTGCTAAGATGATGTGCGATAGTTGGCGCTAGTGATGTTCAGTCTGCGCACGTACTTGCTCGTGTTCTGTGAATACATAAGTGGGCTTACCATTTTGTCGGGTGCCAGCTCATTAGCCAACGACTATCGCATAGAAATGATAAGAGGCCTGAAATGCTACACAAAGCAGGTGACAGGTGGAGCGTACAAGCAAGCAGTGCGCACCGCCGTGTAACGTTGGAGAGCAAACAAAGTCGTGGTCTGCCGCCCCTACTTGTACTTTCATTGCGACTCCCTTTACAACTGTTAAGCGACAGGCTACCATGTCGAAATAGGAATCTCCTAGTTCAATGCAAAGCAGCTGCGCAGCAAGTTGAACGTGCAGAAGTGACCCCCATAACTTTGCGGCACGGTCGCGCAACGGCCGATGCCGACAAGTGGTTTGGCACTCCATGCACCCTGGGCATGTCCAGCGCAAAATTCCTACATGCCTCCCAAACTAACCATCTTGAGCTCACAATACAAAATACTGTACAATCAATAGTGCAGTACCACCTTTCTCAGACACGTGTCTTCCATGTGCCGCGATTCGAATCCATAGTCTCACTATGCCATGCGGCACAGCGCGCAAAACACTTCAGCCGCCTTGCAAAGACAGCGCCACTACGCACCACTGTAACCTATATAGATGAATGCAGGGGTACCGAATCTTGCACTATGCAGCTAAATGCTGCACAGTACTCAACCCTGAGTTCGTGCACCCGACATCCATGGCGCGTGGACAGGTTGCGTAGTGAAGCGATGTAGTCAACTGTGAAGAGCGGCATCGGCTAGTTGCATCCTTCGCCCATAGCCACCATATATCCATCCGACTGCATCTGACATATCGTTATGGTATGGAGTCCATCCTTAAACAAGTTAGTTACAGCTGAGTGTATTCGTGGGGGCTGAAAGCCTGCTCACCTTCGGGGGCAAAGCCACCAACAGTGGTTCCTTTGATTTCTTTCCAAGTTCTTTTTTCGCTGAGACCCAACTGTACTACTCTTGCCCGCTTACCTCGCTTCGCCAGGATCCTGACCTCGCCTTTCATATCTTGCTCCGGTCCTGCAATCCGCCAGTCCTCGTTGACTCTATCCCCTGGCTTTGCTGCCCAGGGCTGCATCGTCCGTCCGTCCTCGGTTTTTTCACAGCCGGTAGCTGCTTGCTGGTTGTACGGAACGATGTACATCTTGACCTCTGCGCCGTACTCGACTCCATCACGTTCCTTGATAAGCGCATCCCAGTTTTCGGGCTGGGCCGATCGTTTGTGCCGATGGTCGTAGCCCGAGGCGATGAAGTCGGTACAAGGTGTTATGTATGTAAGCTGTTTCCAAGCGTCGCTATTGAGGAGGCTTTCGATGTCGAAGTAAGTTGTAACGTCTCGCCATCCATCGCACATGCCAAAACCATGCCAGCAATCTTCCACGACTAGTGTGTCAAGACACAGACCAGGCAGCATATTAAACGCATTTGCTGCATAGTAGGTAGGATAGTAATGCGTAGTCTCTCCAGTGTACAGGGGGAATGGATATGCGCGAACCCGAATGTGGCGCAAGCGGGTCAGCACACTCTGATCGATCGAGAGGAGTGTCTCGAGCAGGTTCTCAGTACCGCGGAAGTGGAGGGTGCAGTTGAGCGGAAGATGACGGCTGGCCTCGGTGTAGATCTGGCGACAAGTGAGAAGTAGTGATGTACGATTAGAGTCGTCCGTTTTGCTGCTAGGAAGGCCTGGGTGTTTGAAGCCGTGTCGAATGGTGTAGCTGCCAAAGAGAAACCCGTAAATGAGCTCTCGTAGCTCAACAGGTATCGTGAGAATGGTTGGTGCGCTCATGGTGCTGTGGTCGATGGCGTGCGATTAGACGGAACGGGGAGTGACGGAAGCAAGATGGTTGCTGATAAGAAGTAATACAAGTAGTAAGTATATAGCACGCAAACAACAACCCCAGCAAACAGATACAGAACAGCGTCACTTGGACTGGTAAGCACTACAACGTTGACATGAGCTGGACGTGACGACAGCTAGGCGCCCACTCAGAGCCCTGGCGTGCGCATAATATAAGGCATTGCTCAGCTTGCACGCTGATAGCTTCTTCCTCGGCTGTCATGGGCGGCAGTAGGGTAGGATGACGTTTGGCTTCCTTGCGCTAGGACTGGCTAGCGCGCCTCGCACAAGTCCAAAGGTCGTGTGCTAGGTCACCGACCTTTAAAGACTGGTATGCTATACATTAGCAGCTGAAAGCTGTGTACATACACGTGCCAGGCCTGCCGCCGAAACTAGGAGTTCTATATAAATACCGCCGACGCAGGCGCCTTCGAGGGCCACAGTCCCGCCAGATCGACCGGTAGTCTAAGCGATGGCTTGTTGTAGTGTGCATTAGGGGATGGATGGAATACTTGATTCTGGGTATCTTTGATGCGCGCTCAAGTCTAGATCTGCCTCCTTCGACCGCGACCTCCAATCAACTGTTTCTCCGGTGTATGTATTACTCTGACTTTGACCGCCCACGAATACGCTGCTGCTCCTCTTGCAGCTTCTTCTGCTGCCACTGCCACTCCACTAGTACGGGCAGGAATTGCCAAAGATCAAACTCGGGCCACAAGCACTTGAGAAACACAATGGACGTATTCTCATGAGCCTGCCACAGCATGAAGTCGCTCAGTCGTTGCACACCAGAAGTGCGGACAAGCAAATCGAGCGGTGGAGCGTCGGCTGTCATCATGTTGTCGTTCAGTGTCTGGGCACTAATTGACTCAGGATCCAGGAATGTAGGTTCCGTCTGCGACTCGTCCTTGTCTGGTGGATTAATGACTGTTGCGGTCGACGAAGACCGCCCATCTTCCGCTGAGGCAGCTTCTTTCGAAGGCGACGCCGGACGTGACTCGGGCTGTTCAAGTGCGCTATCTGCATCCTCCTCCAACATTTGCTTCCTAATATGCTGCGTAATGTGCGATTCGGAAAAGGCGCGTTTCGGCGAAGTAGACAGGTTGTGCATAGGGGTGCTATACGTCTCGACAGTCTTCATGACAGCGGTCGTGATTTCATGGCGCGACGTGTAAGGAAAGCAGACATTCAGGACAGCCCTGTTCAACGAATCAGCAATCGTCTTCGTACTGGATGTTGGTGTGTACTTCTTGTTGTGGGCAGTCATGGCCACGGCCTTGTCTATAGCCATAAGCACGTCAGGGTTGACAAGCTCGCGCTCACCCAAAACTCGAATGGATGCACCGTAGCGGTCCAGTAAAGCACCATGCTCGGCTAGCTGTTGCAGCTTTACCTTGGCCATGGACATGAGCGCATCCACCTCATGCTTCGAACGCTTGAAGTTCTCAATACTGAATGCATAGATTGTCACCACTTTCACCCCGGTCTTGTAGCACACTTCGAGGATCTGGCTAGTTGTCAGTATCATACCCAGCAAGGGAAATGCACCCTTTCCATGGTTCATCGTACCCGAGCCAGCGATTCAAACCCCAGATTATGCCCTTCTACAGTCTCAATGTGGTGGTTGCGTGCAAACCGCCTGTTCCCGTCCATGACAAACGCCACATGTTGCGGGATTGGACCCTGTTTAAGGGACCCAATGAGGATCTCTCGTAGCTGTCTGATCGTCCATGCGACCGGAGGCGAGGTTGCGAACCACTTGTGTATGCGGGAATCGTGGATTGACCCCATTGTGAATATTATCGAGGTGCTTAGCGTCTGTTCTTTAGGGGGGTTTGGAATTGCAGTGCCGAATCAGGGCGACGAGGATGCCAGCAGAGGTTCTCAGAAGTTTCGCTAAACAATGGCGCTTCTTGTACTATTAGGGTATCATGGCGTATAAAAGTTGCAGTTCAAGAAGAGATGCTACGTAACAGGTCCAAGGCGCAGTGAGCCCTGACGCGCCTCCCAACGCATCTGACCATGGGCGTCTTTGCAAGGTGAGTGGCTGGTAGAGATGACTAAGCGTGGCGCGGCCTGCGCCGCTGCTTCCGACCCTGCAATCCTTGCCGAGCTTCCGTCCATCTCTCACTTTTCCTGGCCGCGAGCCTCGTTGCCGCGTCATCAAAGCCGGGCTCTCCTGGTATCTCTATACGCATCATCTTCGCACGTTTCGTCCTTGTGCTATCGGAACTATGGCCGATGAGGCTCAGCTCAACGTCACAGTGCTTGCCGAGCAGCTGGTCGAAGGCTTTGCGGCTTTGAGTGGAGAATACCAGGCTCTTTTTGATCAGCAAAAACAGGTGGAAAGCAAGCTCTCGTGGGCCAAGCAACAGGTATGTGACATCTGCTAATAGCTCTCCTCCCCTTCTTCCATGATGATACACTTTAGCTCTAGACCTGCAGCTGCTCTCGCGGCTTTGACAGAAAACAACCACAGCATGACCTGATTTCGGATTTCTTCATTCCACGTTTAAGCACACATTATTCTGCAAGATCCAGTCTGACATTCCACAGTATCTCGACCTACTCAAGCGGTTCGCGCCGGACACGCTGTCGCAAGATCATCTTACTTTTTTGCAAGAGCTCGAGCGAATTGGGGACGAACAACCACATGTGCATGTGAATTTGGTGGAGCAGTTAGCAAATAGCGACGATGTAGAGCGCAAGAGCCGGGCACTGGTCATCCAGAAGGCTGAGGAGGCTGCTGTTCAACTGCGTGCCCCTGAAAATACAAGTGTAAAGATATGGAGCGGCCCATCAGCTGATGTACCGACCCCGCAACTTGAGACACAGAGTAATAGAGCCACTTCACCTCTTGAAAAAGATTTCACAGTTGCTGGAACGCCCAGTAAGCTAGCTTGCCCTTTCGCATCTGGAAGTGGTAGAGGCAGTCCTCTTGCTACGCCGCGAAGCTCGACCTCACGTCTTAGCCTGCGCGGTCGTAGGTCTAAACGACCCTCTTTCGCCGATCCTATCCGCGCCGAAATATGTAGCAATAAACCTGCCTCGTTGACTGCCTCGGTCGCTGCATCTGGGTCTGCTGCCGTCTGTCCCATCCGCTTCCTTGACCAGCATAACCCAGAAGAGGTTGCAGAATACTTTGAAAAACACAAGCACGAGCTGCCCAGGAGCCACGAAGTTTGCATCACACGTTTCCAGCGTAACCAGGAAAGCATTGAACAGCTGGATCGCAAGTATGGCAACTTGGTCAACATGATCCAAGGCCTGGGTCAAAAGCACCAGGCATGGCTGCCTGAGGATCCTGACGATGCTATAGACGAAGAACCGGAAACTGAACCTAACCACATTGCCAACGCCAGAGCAGACACCAAAGTCCAAAATTGGGCTACAGCTGTCTCAGCAAGTCTTCATGATGGTACTCCAACTCCCGAGGAACAGCCAGAAGACCATGTCATGGACGAAACTAGAACAGCGCACTTTGACCGTCCGCTAAAGGAAGTCCGAGTAGGCGAGTCTCCAAGCCGGCCTTGGGGCATATCGATTCCAGCGAAATATACCAATGCCGAAAGCTCGTCGTCAGTTGGCTCCGTCCCAACTGCATCACCACAGTTTCCGCTAGATACCGGTCGACCAGTGGAAGACACGCCACAAAGCACAGGAAAGTGTCCGTTTGATCATCGAGCGATGATGAACCAAGCTCATGAACAACATCAATCAACACAAGCTGTCCCACCGCCGTCATCGCCGCCCGAAGTCGCAAATACCCAGACGCCGCCCGCAGAGCCCCCGCCACAGAGACAGTCCCCAGTGCAGAATGGAGAGACTGGAGGCCCACGGTTGATACCCCAAATGATATTCAATGGGCCAGTGTTCTTAGGGTATCCGCCAGATCAGCTGGCCCTGTTGTTACAAAACAGTAATCTTGGTGCGACAATGCGGTAAGATTGAAGCAACGAAAGCACAATTTGAATTCACTGGCTGGTTGATTTGAGGTATTGTATTATAATCAGAAGGTAGGCTTCCATGACTGCTTGCCTCGCAATTGTGTGTCACTATCAGCCTTCCGAAGTCATGCTTTTTCTTCTTTGCGTTTTCATTAGTCATTGCCACTATGCTATGCAGTCCTGCTCTGTTCTGTCCGAGCTTGATTCCGAATCGACCTCGGCCGCCCTGCTGACCAGTCCCCGGTGGCCCTGCTCATTTCTTCTTCAGATCTGTCATCCAGGTGCGCACGCCTTTTGCGCTGTCATGTGCCGCACGGAACACTTTGTCGGCATCAGCTGCAAGATCCCGAAATTGATTGGTGGATACTCACGTTGCCGTTCATTCTCATCTAGGCCCCGCATAAAGTCAGCGCCTTCACCCAATGCACCCCGTGGGTTATGGGCTTGATCAGCTATCAAAGCAGCCCTGGCCTTGAAGGTCTGTGGGTGTTAACTCTAACCAGGTGCCGGAAGGCTTGGCACAATACTCACATCGCTTAATACCTCGATCATTTCTTCTTCTTCGAATAGCTCGAGGATACGTGCTCCGAGATTATAAAAGTGCGGAGCCAAGGCTCGCAGATCAACGGTGCGCGGGTCAGCTTTGAGTGCGTTCAAGACGCGTGGAGAGAGGGCCGAGGGAGGATCGATAGTGACGAGAGATGAAGTGTTTAGACTCTGGCTGTAGATTGTGTAAATACATAGCTGTTGGAAAGATACAAAAACCAGTTTACCTCAGTGCAAGCATCTCGCCGAGCCACAAGGGAAGTTCGACCTTTGAGCCTTGCTTCATGTCGCCGTTCATGTTGCCTTCAAGATAGCCGAGACCAGGAACAGTAAGCTCAAAGGTGCAGGGTACCTTCTGGGCATCTGTAAGGATGGCGTCGACGTCGTAGTACGAACTCATGTTTTCTGAGACACGTCAACTGACCAATCTACTTGGTAGAAGGAACATGAAGGGTCAAGGCTTGTTGATGATCAACATGCTGCTGCTTCAAGCCAAGAGAAGACCGGGAGGAGAGAAGGCTTTTCGAGGACAGCAGATAGACGTGTCGCGTGTCGTGCCACAACCATATTTGTGCATGCGGACGAAAACGCAATGAAACGGGAACATGGATGAGGTACAGGACAAACATGACTCCGGCCCTGGCGACCAGAACAGCCACGGGCCAAGTGCTAGGAAAGACTGGAGATGGGATGGGGGTAAGGTGCTTACTATGTGGCAACCTCAGCGTTGCGCGTCTCGTGAATGCCTGGCGGAGGTCCGACGATATATACCTTCGTGTAGCTCGGTCGGCCCGTACTATGCAATCTACTATTACTCCTACAACCTCTCACCAGCTGTTCCCAAGAAGCAGTGCAGCCCGTCTTGTCTTTGTGGTGTGCACTCAAGGCCTCATTCGTCTAGGCCTGGCTGGCTGGCTGGCTGGCTGCTACATCGCCTGGCCAAAGCTTCCAGCACCTTAGCATTAGTACATGTCATAGGGACGAGGCGCCGGCTACCCACATGAACCACCTCACTCTGTCAATCATTGCACCCCCGGCTGAGCTCATCTCCACCAGCATATCCCCGCAACATCGGAACCTGGATCCCATACAACGCAATCGTTCTGTAAGTCGCGTGCATCTCTCAATTCGACCCTCAGCCCCGCCGCCGCCTTGGATGATGCGCTTGGTGGTGCTCACTCTACTATACATATACACTTCACTGCCCCAGCCTATCACCGCTTGCCCTTCATTTGCTCAATCATTTGCTTACTTTTTCCATTCAAAGCGAGCAAACCAGCCTTGGCTCCTGTTGATTGCGCATTGCTAGCTCGACATTAATGATCCTACATCTCAACACCTTCCCCACCGCGCCCTAGCCATACCCCGGCCGCACATAGACACCCTCACGCCCCTTGCTACAAACCGGCACCATGGCCGTAAGCGAACGAATATCGCAGCTCATGAGCGCCCTCGATACCGGGTCTGGTCCTGATACATCTCGTGCCACTTCTCCCGGTGGCGACTGGCGACAGGCCAACGGCACCATCAACGGGGCTGACGATAGGCGTCGCCCACGGACATTTCCATACTTTGAATACCTTCCATATCAGACAGAAGATCAGAGCGATCGTGAGGAGAGTTTGAACACATGCTTGAAGCACCTCTATATTGCCGTCTCAGCGGGCGACTTTGCGCCGGGCGCAGTACACTGGACGCGCGAGATTCGGGGCTGGCTATCACTCAAGTTCGATCTTCCCCGCAGCACGCGGGTGAAGCTGGTGAAGCTTTATTATGAGCTGGCGTTGGCCCCTGGCCTAGACTATTTGGTGGCCGAGCGCTTTGCGAGCATGTTCATGGTCTTGACTAAGTAGGTGAAGCTGAAGCTGGAGTTTGGGTGATGAATCGACACTGACAACTTGATAGGCGTAAGCACTACCTTCGACCTGGAATCGACTTGATACTCGATTGGCGGCCGTTGTATAGAGAGTTGAAGATGTTCGTGCTGCCCTCAGAGTCGGGTGGCTCGCACCCACCCAACGTGAAGCGGAACATCCGCACTCTGACCAAGATGTGCACTTTTGCGCAGTCATACTTCGATCCCAAGGATATACCAGCCATGCTGGAAGAGCTTCTGCCTTTTTTCAGCACGTCTTTTAGTGAGAATGCATTCGTCGTTGTGGGGCTGCTCAATCTGCTACTCCCAACCCACCCAGCGCCAGAGGACATGAAGCACCTGCTACCGCAAGAGTATCTTCCCACATTTTTCCACTTGTGGTCACTAGTAAACCGATCGCGACTCTTTGATGCACACTATATCGACACCCTGTCGAGGTTGGCGCGGGACAACCTGACAGCGCCGCATGTCCCCTTTTCACAGTATGGCATCTTCACAGGAGAGCAATCGTCCCAGATATTCACAGCGATTCTGCGTCTGCTTGAGATCCCAGTTGGTCAAGCAACATCCCCATACAGCAGTTCTGTCGATCTTGGGGCGGGGTTAGCTGTGATGCTAGATCGCGACCCGCGCAAGCATCCGTCTACACACCACATTGCTCGCATCATCGCCATGTCGTTGTCACCTGCATCCGCTGAAAATCCAGACTCCACGCTTACCAAACTAGAGGGTCTAGTCCAAGCGGTAGAAACCTTTTTCCATCCTTCCAACTCTGGGAGCTGGACTAGGCCGTTAGCACAGTTTGTGTACTACCTGGCAGATATCTTTGTACTGCGTTGGAACCGAGAGCATAGCGGTGAGATGGATGTACCGGAAGAACGACGACTCAATGATGCAGTCAAGCGACGCTTCGTGCTCTGCCTGCGCGAGGTCACGTTCATGGGCATCTTCTCTAAAAGCGACAAGGCAGTACAGTACGCCTTGTCTACTTTACAGAGTCTGGCGTATCTCGAGCCCAACCTGATTCTTCCAGGTGCATTACAGCGGATTTACCCTGCGATGCAGGGGCTCGTTGAGGTACATCGCACAATTTCGTCTATTCGTGCGTTGCATATGCTTTCAAAAGTCATGGCCAAGACAAAAGGCTTCCGGTGTCACGTTACGTCGGTGCTTGGGCTTGCGCTACCTGGTATCGACGCCAACGACCTGGAAAAGACGCTGCATACCTTGCAATATATTCAGGGTGTGTGTTACCTTATTCCGTTCCAGGATCTCACAAAAGCAAAGAAGGCGTCAAACGAGGAAACGTCCAGAGACGGAGCAACTACACCTTCAGATGATGCCGGTGGTGACACCGGCCTGGCTGTGGAATGGATCACAGCGCAGGTTGATCGACTGGAAAATGCCAATGGTAACATCGAGATTAATTACGATGAAGAACTCAGTGATCAAGACGAGGCTATGATTCTACGATCATCCACGACTGGACTCAATGAGTTCCTCATCACATTCCTTGGTCGTGTCTTCACGCTATTGGAGAATTTGCCAGATGCATCTAGAGTTCGCAGTGGTTCTCCTGAGGAATATGTGGTCAACCAACTTCCAGCGGCTTTTACGCCACTTCTTGCTGCGCTCTCTCCCGAGTTGTACGATATCGCCCTTGATAAGATTGCCAACTTCATCACGAACCACGTGGTTCATCAAGCAAAGGACGCCATTGCGTTCGTCTGCAACAGTCTTGTCAAGATCAACCCTGAGAAAGCCCTCAAGCGCCTTTTGCCACATCTTCTTGCAGGTATCCGCACTGAGATTGATGAAATTGGCGCTGGCTCGACGCGAACTACAGGTGCAGAAGTGCTTCCACGTGATCGTGCACTCGTTTGGAATCTCTGCATTCTTAGCATGTGTGTTGTCCATGTTGGCGACGCAGTTCTTGAGTGGAAGGATGAGCTGTTTGCGATTGCAGAATACATGCAGCAGAAGTGTCGCGGCACACCTACCGTACATGTTTCCAACTTCATCCATCACTTGCTCCTCAATCTCACCTGCACATACACCATCGACTACTCCATTTATGAGCAAGGTGAGCTTGAGCAAGGCTTGTCAACAGAGTCGTGGGGTAGACAGGTTGATGTCAAGAAGCTGGATATCAAGTGGCACACCCCCAGCTCAGAAGAGATCGACTTCGCTATCAAGCTTTTCGAAACTCATGCTAATAACGCCATGAAAGCACTTCATGCCCTTACACAGCCGGACTCTCCAATTAAACGCGAAGGCACCGGAAAAGATTGGTCTGATGAAGTATCTCGCAATCTTGTTCTGTTGCGACTGATCATTTCTGGTATCTCAGTCTTGTTTGATGTTCGGCACGACCAGGTCACAGATGGTAACAACGCATCAGACGACGGCTCAGATCCAGATGCAATGGATACAGAAGGTATCGACGACGATGCTGGTCTTGGCGAAGCTGAAGACGAAGAGGTGAAGCCTACCTTTCAGTACGAAGCTGGCTATCCACTCCGTCGTGGTGACAAAAACTACACGCTTGTCCATGACCTGCGCAGGCAAGTTGGTGA